GGAGAGGGCTACAGATTGTCTCCTGTCCTTGACTATTCAATGCAGAGAAAAACATTGGAAATACAAACACTTAAGTTAAAGAGTAGGCTACCGTCTTAATACAATACTTTCTAGTCTTGTAGGCCATGAAGTGAGTCCTTCACTGTCACTTACATGGGGGCGGGGCGAAGGCCGCTAATGTCAGGGAAAAAGCTCTTAAAACCCACTGCACACTACCGGCACAGCACGAAAACAGCCGACGGACAAAGTTAGCGGCTAGCTTGTAAACAAACTGCAGCATTTAACAGCGAAACAGACACAGATATTTCCCTCAATAGTAGGTGGAGACCAAATTAGAGCTAAAAAGGAGAGGGATTTATTTATCGGGTGGACACAAACACAACTCCAAATTAATACTAATGCTGTACTGTCTCTGCTCGATGTATATCTTACTTTATCAGCTTCATAAGGTGTTAATATGTCATTGTTATACTTACAGCTTACTGCCCCCAAGTGGCCCAAAAGGTTTAGGTATAAACTAGGCTTCAGCAGTCAGAGTTGGCCAAACGAAGTTGATGTCTTCCAAAGTTACTACAGAATTATTTTTGTTTCCCTGGCCGGTGTTTTGTTAAGTAGCTGTGGTAGAGAGATACGCTTACATATGGCTGCCATTACAAAGACACCCACTTCATTTGGCTAACTGCTGGAGTCTCATTTTAGCTCCGGCTATAGGGTCACTTCAAGGAATGATTGCAATGGCCAGTGCAATCATAAGTCATGTGAGTATTTAATTAATTAAGACGGATTTAGGGTTGAAAGTAGATCTCCTCCCGCCCACAGCTTTGGGCATCGCTGAACACACTCAGTCAATTTTACAAATGCTCTATCTTGCGATGTTAATGAACGTGAAAAATAATGTGTGTACAAATGAACAAACAGACATACTGGGCCGAAAAACATAACCTCCTCGGCTTGGGTAACTACGATTTGTTGACCTAACGTCAGTAGTTTTCTTGTTGAGATGTGATTGTGAGTGATGGTTACTGCGGTGACGGTGGTTTTGGCAGGTAGCTGCTGCCCCCCTCTTCAGGGTACAGCGTACCAGCACTGAATCTACCAGAGTACTGCACCGTAACAACCTACTTTCACCCCTGGACAGACTTGAAAGAATCTGAAACCATCCTTTAAGTCGGCTGGATTTCTGAAAGCTTAGTTGATTCTGAATGAAGCCACCCGACCAAAATTAATCAACTTGAGCTTTTCTTTTAAATACTTTTTTTTCATTTTAGATGAGGAATTGATTAAAAGCTTGCCCAAGATTTATTAAAACTGCTATGTAGGGAAGTACCAAACATTGTCCCATGACCCACTCTGAGCCTCACGTTTTAGTCGGAGTACACTGCGTCAACCATTTTGATTGCTTACAGGATATTCAGTCACTTCAGTCAAACTGTCAGTGTTGCCAGATGTTTCCCCCCGACTCGATCCTCAAAGCATTCCCCTGTTGTCATTTTACAACCGTCCGTGTCGCTGGTGTGTGTGAAATATTTCAGACAAATTCAAATTGCTTCCTGAGCCGTCAGATGACAGACGATCACGTCAGGGGAAGAGGATTAAAGTGTCTCTCCGTGTCCATCTCTTCGTGTCTACAGGAGAGAGTTGAAGACCCCTTTCCCCTTCATCCACTCTGTATTCGTTGGCCCAAAACATTACCGCAGACAATTAAAAAATCGCTTCTGTCAATGGCAGAGGTTATTTTGATTTGTATCAACCCTGTGCTCTATTGATTGAAGTATGCTGTGAGTCTTTTAAAGTGCCTGTAAGACGGATGGAATAAAAGAACCCTTGACAGTTAAATTAACTGCTTGAATCGGGATAATTATTTAGGGATCTTGGGACATGAAATGAAAGATTTTTCTGAGCAATTCTTTGCTGTTTCAGGTGGGAATGCGGTGGAACAGTAATGAGGCAACCTAGTGCTGCTGTGATGAGTCATAACTTTCTCTCTGTGTAAATATAGAACACCTACACGGAGCCTTTGTAACGGGACACAAGGGGCAAAGAGTAGAGGAAGCTTGACGGAACTCCTTTATTGAAGAGCGTCACGGTGCGCGTGTGCACATACTACGGGTTTAATGTGTCCAAAGTGAATAAATCACTTCATTTTGTTTTTCCATAACCACTGTGGGGCCTATAACAGGTGTAACTGCACAACAACCAAAAGCAAGGACAATGAGCACATTTTTGTAGGGCTTCCACGACGCTTACTTTGGGGTAAGGGGTAAGGGGATGAGTTTTGCATTACAGTTCAGCTAAGGGTAAAGCATGTAGTCGTGGTTAGCGACTACATGCTTTCGGAAGGGAACCCAAGTCAACTGAATGTCATCGGCCTAAAATTACTAGTGCTGTGGATCTACGTGTGCTTGCAACAGATACCGAGACAGAAAGAGAGATACGAGACTGAATATGAAGATAGATAAGACTGGATCTTCTTACGCTCTCATTATATATTATATTAGTGGCAATGCATAACTGAGGAAATTTAATAATTGACACAATTCAAAAAAATCCATGGCCGGCCCTCCATCAAACTCTTATTAAATATTGTTCATTTGTGGATCCGATGAATTACAGGTCAGGGATGCAGCGATCCAAGTTTTTCAGTCCCGATACCATTACAGATATCTGGGCTTTGGGTATCTGTCGATACAGAGTAAAGATCTGATACCAAATAATTAATAAGCTTGATGTCTCACTGTGTGGAAGTGATTGGGATCATTATTTTATGTGTAAGGCAACATCAGGCTTGACTTAAACATTGCTTTACTTGGTTTGTAAAACAAAATGTAACAAATAAATATTAAAATATAAAAAGAATGAAATAATAAATAATAATCTTAAATAATAATAATACTATATAATATAATAACAAAAATAATATTATACAATAATGATAATATTATTATTAATAATAATAATAATAATAATAAATAATTTACCGGCAACTTGGTAACGTTTCTTCAAGATTAACAGGAATTACAATTCAAGTGTAAACCTTCTTTAATGCAGCATCAAATAGGTCAAAACTAAAACAGGAATTAAAATTCCAGTGTATAATATATACATAGTATATAAAAATAGATTAAATTGTTGAGATCTGTCTCATTGTCACCTCCAGGTATTTGAGTCAATTGGCACCTGCTGCATTGAATCTCACTTTTGTACTTCACACTTTTCAGCCATGCAACATCTCTGTAGAAGTTGAGCAATGAATGCAAAAAATAGATTTTCATACAACAACTATGATTTGAAAGGGTGCAATTTTCAAGTGCTAAGAGCTATGTCTTCAACTACGTCTGAACAAGCTGTCATGATGAACCAAAGTGAAGTCAGTGACAGGCTACTACAGCACAGCTGTTGGTAATTAACGTTAATCCCGCGAGTTGGCCAAACTACAAAACAAATCTCTGGTTCTCAGCTGGTGTCTGTACTATTTCTGCTCCTCCAAAGAATGTTTGAGAGAGAGAGAGAGAGAGAGAGAGAGAGAGAGAGAGAGAGAGAGAGCACTCTGCATCATTTTGCTGAATGGTGAGTTTTCATCTACACAGGTCATATCACATCATTTTCACTAGAGACAGTTAGCTAGCAGCTACCTCCAAGTACTTAGTTATTGAGTGAGTGACAGCGGGCCGAAACTTCTGAGCACATCATTACGTTATTTTGAGTTGATCCGTATGTATGCCCCGAGTTAAGACCACCAAGATTTGGAGCTGTGAGGCAGCCTGACCTGTATGTGAAGCTAATGCTAATCAGTCAGATATCACGGCATTGTCAGACTGAACTAAACAGCAGATGGTCAATATTGCAGCTATGGGCAACAGTCCATGGTATGGGCAACAGTCCATGGTTTAAACAGGCTGGGGTGACATTTTGTAATTATTCTCAAAGACAGTGAAGCTGGGAGTGTCTCGTTTTTTCCGCTCAATATGCTTCACGTTTTTACAGGAGTGCCCTGATGACCTCGAGTTGAAAGAAATTATATTCAGAGCAGAAAAGTTAAAGCTAAAATTACAAAACATTGACTTATCATGTACTGTGCCATTTCTGACGTCAGCAAACACATCAACTTTAGAACAATGAGCTTTCAGAAAATGTTCACTTACGAGGCTGTGACTCCCACACGAGGGGGGGCAATCATATGGACTCTTTTTGTAAACACACAACCCCATTTAAAGGCAGCATGAGAGTCATGATTATTGTTTGACAAATAATAAAAAATGTCAAATAGTTTTGCTGATAATATATAATCTTGGAACAATGGCAGGACCTCGTCAAGCAAATGCATAATTTCTATCAGAATTTTTTCTTTTTTTTTCTTGTAGAAATAATCTATGGTTTGACTATGCTTTGTAATAAAGCACAGAGGCATCTTTTTTTAAAGAATATTTTCGGACATTGTATGAGACAGTTGACAGTAGGGAGATGACAGCAAATAAGGGGAGTGACAGATGGGAAACGACATGCATCAGAGGAAGTGGCATCAACACTTAATTGTATATATTTAATTCCAGTCAGAAGAACTTGAAACATGTTTTCTCCTCAGATCGCTCTATAGTAGAAGATAAGAAGGAGCTGCCCTTGGATAACAGATCACCAACCAGGTCTGTGTTGACAACTCACTGCCAACACATAGTTATATTCTTTTTTGCTATGTATCACTTTTTTTCTGTTGCGTTCCAGATTGAATTACTATTTTCATAACCCCTTCAACTGGGTGGCCTACATCTTAGCTAGAATTAATGCATTCAATGAATTTCATGTCTTAATAGTGAGCATGATTGCAATGACCTGACGGTAACCTGATGATATTACGTGATTGCACAAATGTTGCAAAAGATTAAGAGACATTACTGCCACTCCAATGGGAGAATCTAGCGGCCTCCACCCACCTATCAGACTGATTGTGATTTACTACTGTATCATTACACACAACGAATGCAGCCACAATGTGAAAGACTCACCTACAATGAACCACAGGAGCGCCTGTCTCCGCAGAGCTGCCCCGGTCTGCGATCCCATCCTGTCTCTCTCTAAAACGATCCGCCGACTGAAGTTTGGGAGAGAAGTGAAGGGGGGATGGATGGAGGGGGGTTGAGCAACCGCCGAAGAGCTCAATGAGTGAGAGGTAACATCATAGGAGACAGCAGTTGAAGAAATCCATGTATTGCGGCCGTCCGTCGGGTCGGGGGATCCTCTGCTGTATCACCTTTGCGCAAACTGCTCGAGGGGGTTGGTGGAGTGGCGGAGTTGGGGCGGAGGGGGGGGGGGGGGGGCCTCGCTCCTGCTGCACCTGAACTCCCCCGACACTTCCTTGTCACCGATCCTCTGTCACCCACGCGTAAAACATATTGACTCGTAAAGTTGCAGCTAACTGTCCCACCAGTCCGCCCCGAGGAATTTTTTTTTTTTTTTTTGAGAAATCCGGAGCGCGCTCGTGAAGTGTGCCCGGCGTTGATAAACGGTGCCGCGCGCAACGGGACGCACCAGCCTGGGACCGGTGGAGCGGAGAGACTGTGTATGTGTGTGTGTGTGTGTGTGTGTGTGTGTGTGTGTTGAGGAGGGTTCACTGCGTACTCTGCGAGGACACGACTGTGGGTGAGCGGTGGGGACACACGAAACAGACCCAGACATAGCAATTACTGCGCGGGGGATGGGAGAGGAGGGGAGGGGGATTTTGGGTAAGGGAGGAGGCGCCGGACCCCTAATGGTACTTTTCCATTGGTTAATCGGATACCAGCTTCCGCATGACAAACCACTTAATGAATCAACAAACTAAATACACAAATAAACAAACAATGGCAATCGAATACAGCCAGTCTGATTGTATTCCCTGAAATCGTTGTGACATCATCTCAGATTTAACATCAGTATTATAGAGACAAGTTATAGATGGTATATTCTCTTTAGAAATGTTGGTGTTACCATTGAATATAAAAAACAAAAACGTGTGTACATGGGTCGTTTACGGCTAGGACAAATATAAGGCAAACTGTCCTGCAACTCCCCCAAAAACTTTTCAGGTAACGTCATTTCATGGATCTGAAGACAGGTGCAGTGAGGATACGATGTGTGCGTGTGTGAGCTGTTCAACTTCGCCATCTAGTGGTCACATGGAGCGTTACAACGCGGTCTCTACATGAGTCGATCAGAGTTCTGATACTGTTGATGTTTTGTATAAAGTTTTTTTTCTTCATAATGTCTTTATATTCTTATGCATGATGATGGATGATTACATGTCTCTGTTGTTTTGACCACAACGCACTTTATTTCTAAAAGAAAAGATGTTTTGAATGTCAGGCCTAACACTGAAAACTTTAACAGTTTAAAGAGGTTTAAGCCAAATCCAAAATTCGGCAGACAGGTCTGATTGATATACCATGTATAAACAGTGGACGTTGTTGTCGTGAAGTCACCCATTGATTAGTGAACTGCCGTTTTGAAGCATTTTGGCTGTCGCCATCTTTGGTTTTTTTGCAACCAGTGAACGGAAGTGACCATTTTTGGACTGCGGAGGAGTGACATAGTCAGACGTTTTTGCTTACTGCGCAACTTTTATAAGAATGGGGCCCAGCCTCCAGTTCTCTCTATACATCTGTAGTTTGCATAAGACAGGAATGGCCAGTAGCTGCTGACTTTATTATTTGCCTAGTAGCGCGTACCATTAAGGCTCACAGTGACCGGCCTGCTGTTCGAGTTCGGCACCGGGGTCCTTTACTGCATGTCATATCCTCTTCTTCCCCTGCCTTTCATGTCGGTCTCCCTCACTGTCAAATAAAGCAGAACAAAATGTTTCTCTCCTATATTTCCTCATAAATTTACTCAACTCATTCCAACTTCACATTGAAATTATATGTGCTCTGCATTAAAAATAAAGATGAATGATGGGATGTCCAAGAGAATATTGAATAAAGTTGTGTGAGTTTGAATGTGTTTGGCTGCACAGCAGTTTGTTATGACTTTGGCTGAAGAGGAGACAAACTCATAGCAAGAACTTTTCTCTGCCTCAGTTTCTGTGGATCATTACAGGAAACATCTAAACTGGTCGTATAAGTAGAGACTGTTTTCACACACACACACACACACACACACACACACACACACACACACACACACACACACACACAAAAACCCCACATTGGAATGAATATAGTATGCAGTAAGATATATATATATTTTTTATTTTGTATTTCAAAGACCAGTCTAGCTATAACGTTTAGATGTTTTTGGAGCCATTTCAAGTGGATAACAATTCCCTCTGTTTTGCTGCAGTTCAGTTTGAACTCAAGGCCTAAACATGACTCATCCACGTGGGTTGACGAGGACCTAATCTTTGTTGTTTTGTGGTGTTACATCAGAGCCATGGCAGAAGCTCCCAGACAACAGAAACTCAGAAAATGAAAAGGCTGACAAATCATCTCCCACAGACTGAGAGTAAGAGGAAGGTCTGTGCTTGATCTTGATCTTTCCAGACCAAGATCAAGCACATCGTCCTCTGCCAGCAGTTCACGCAGGATGAAATGATACGTTACGTTTTACATGATACGTGTTTAGGATATAAATTTTAAAAACCTTGAAGAAAAAAAGAAAATGTTTTCTTTTTGCTGTTGGACAAATGGGTGAAAGAGATACAGTAAGGCAGACCACGATGAATCTCACTGTGTATCTCAAACCGAAACGTGTTTGAGGAAGAATGCAGAAAGATTGAAGAAGAGATGAAGCAGAAAGATAAGTAAACCAATTCTTAAAAGAGAACGAGAGAGTCAAAAGAGAAAATAATAGAAAGTATTGATGACAGACATGAAGCAAAGTGAAAACTGATGGGGGAAAGCTCTACATGCAGAAGAACTGGGACTAAAGGCAAGTTAGAGGAGGACTCAAAAACAATATGAAATGGGAAACTATATGAAGGTGTCAATTTGGTCTTAGAAATGTTAGGAAACCCAATAACTTGACCAGTGATGTAATAAAATGTCTCATAATGATTTTTTTGATGGATATTGCATTTGAAGTTCAGTGTTCTATATTTTGTGGTTTAAGAAATTAAGAATGTTATACGACCAATAGTGGATTTGATGTGACGCAACAACATCGTGGTCTCCCCCATCATAATCAGTGGGGGTGCGATTGAGTAACAATCCAAAACGTTCCACTTTTAAATATACTTAAAGCTACCGTGATGAACTTTTAGCTGGTAATGAAGAAGTCTAACTTTAAAGGAACAGTGTGTGAGATTTAATGATATCTAGTGGTGAGATAACAGATTGCAAGCAACAACACAGCCCTCCGCTCACCCCTCCTGCCCAAGCGTGAGAGACCTACGGTGGCCTTCAGGTATGGATAGGCATCTTGAGGATTATATTACTACTAGGATCTACTCTTATCAATACTCAATATCAATGCTTATAATTTAGATATAACTAAATATTGTTTCTAGAGCAGCAAGAGTTATGTTTAAAACAGCAAAGTCACTATAAAGTCATTAATATCTCACTGGAAACTAACTATAAATGTCAACAAAATGAATAAACAATGAAGAATACAGACATCAGTCAGTACCAGTCATTCCTTCTATATTCATGTTTTTATTATTATTGTTTATTTTATGCACCAAACACCAAGGCAAATTCCTTGTGTGTAAAACTGTACGCAGGGCAACAAACCCTATTCTGATTCTGAGCTGATTATATTGTTCACGTGGTTCCAGTAAATCAGTGGATGCACCGGGCACACTTGTTTGTTCTTTTACAAAATAGTTATTTTGTGTAAGTGCAAAGATTAGTGCAACCAAGTAAGGTAACTAGCTCCATCAAGTTCACGCCACGCTAGAGTAAATGATCCTATTTCATGTCCAACTCGGGTCTGAATGTGTCAGGCAGCAAACAGCCTGCTGCAATTTAACCCGTTGCCAGCCGACCATGTCTGCCTGACCATCTCCAAGGCAACCAAGTGTAAACGCACAGCAGGAGGAGTGCGGGAAGAAAACCAAAAAAAGAAGAAAGCAGAGGAAACAAAAGTGTGGAGTCTGCTGAAACGGATTTTTACAGATTTTAAATTGAACTGTATTAATTATAAATACTACATGCTCTAATATATAAATGTTCTTGATGGGCTGGATAAAAAAAGCAATACATAACAGAAAGCTTTTTGAAAAATTTGGCTCTTATTAAAATAAAGTACTGAATTTTCGGAAAATGTAAATTAATTGTCCTGTCATCAGTTCAGTCAGGTCTTGTGGACATCGAGCCGAGATGAAAAATGATTTTACACGATCAATCACTGGGCAAAATGTATTTCAAACGTTAGATTTGATTAGATGTCTACCATGCAGATAATATTTCACATATTAATAGACTTATTTAATATTTCTGACAAAGAATCTGAGTTATTAGAAAAATATATTTCAAAAAATAAATACCCTCATTAGAATACTGTTGAACAACGGTTATATGTAATCTAGACATCTGATAAACTCTGACTTTACAACCAAATTTAGTCACGTTTTGATGTTTTTCGACCTCCAAATCACAAAATGAAGGCCTACAGACATTTATTCTTTATGAATATATTGCACTATTTTTCTTAGATTATTTCTTTGACATTGTTGCCTTTACTTTTGTACAGCCAAAGACAGACAAGAGGTAAAGGAGGCATGGCACAACTACTGCTAGTGAAGAATGACTGAATAAATCAATCAATGCAGAGCATAATGCAATGACATGTTGACTACTGTGTGTGGTTGTTTGAGAAACCAAACCATAAATGTGTGGGACAGCAGTCACATTGATGCATTGATGGACTGGCACAGTGATGTATATTATTGCGACTCACCAGCAGTAATAATGTGATAGAATAGTTCCTATCACGCCCTCTGTCTGTGTTGTCCTTAGATCTTTAGAGACTTACATCACTGTGATGATCACACAAACACACAGACCAGCAAAGACACCGAGCTGAAAGAACCGGATCACACACTTCGGCGCAGCGTTTAAAGGTAATCATTCATTTCGTCTTTTTTTTTTTTTTTATAACAGCAATAAAAATAAAAAAAGGGTCAAGTCATCTCTGACCTCCGGCTTAGACACTGCACTTCACACAGATCCGTCTGACAACCTGAGAACCATGGAGAGAAGTGAGGAGAGACGAGAGAACAGTAGTGTCGATGAGGTGCTGAAGAGAGAGTAGCTGGAGGGAAACGAAGAAGTCCCGGTTATGAGCCGTAGACAAGAGTGCCGGGTGGAGCCGGAGGCCTCCGACACCAAAGATGAGGAGGAGGAAGGATCCAGTCCACTTATCACAGCATGTCGCACAGGCATGACTGAGGTAGGGATGGGTACACCTATTGTCATGATAATTACCGGTTTTACCTTAACAGATATGACATTCTGTCCGTTGTTCACCATCACTTCAGGTGAGCGATGTTTGTCAGACAGGCTGTATTCTTCCTGTCAATAACAACATGTGTTCATGCACAGGAGGGACCCATGTGACCTGAGTCTTGCTGTTTACGTAACTCCTCTGCACCCCCTTGGGGTTGATGGGGGCATGTTGAAAACAAACATTTTACTTACCTGTAACACAGGGGAGATCACACTGTGATCCCTTTTAAAGTAAGATGAGAC